AGTGACGACTTCAGTAGTAACCGCTGATTCAGATGGAGTGGATGGTTCCGTCACTGGTTCAGAAGTAACCACTGATTCAGATGGAGTGGATTGTTGAGTGACAGCTTCAGACGTAACCACTGATTCAGATGGAGTGGATGGCTCAATTACTGGTTCAGTTTCAACTGGTGTTTCCGATGCGGTTGTTGGTTCAGTGACTGGTACAGAAGTAACCATTGATTCAGGTGGAGTGGATGGTTCAGTGACAGCTTCAGAAGTAACCACTGATTCAGATGGAGTGGATGGTTCAATGACTGATTCTGAAGTAACCATTGATTCATATGGACTGGTTTGCTCAGTAACTGGTTCAGTTTCAACCGGTGTTTCAGATGTGGTTGTTGGTTCACTGACTGGTACAGAAGTAACCATTGATTCAGATGGAGTGGATGGTTCAGTGATTGGTTCTGAAGTAATCATTGATTCAGATGGAGTTGGTGGTTGAGTGCCTGATTCTGAAGTAACGATTGATTCAGGTGGAGTGGATAGTTCAGTGACAGCTTCAGAAGTAACCACTGATTCAGATGGAGTGGGTGGTTCAGTGAATGGTTCTGAAGTAACCATTGATTCAGATGGAGTGGGTGGTTCAGTCACTGGTTCAGAAGTAAACTCTGATTCAGATGGACTGGATCGTTCAGTGACTGATTCAGAAGTAACCACTGATTCAGATGGAGTGGATGGCCCTGTTATTGATTCAGTATCAACTGTTGTTTCAGATGCCATTGTTGGTTCACTGACTAGTACAGAAGTAACCACTGATTCAGATGGAGTGGATGGCCCTTTTATTGATTCAGTATCAACTGTTGTTTCAGATGCCATTGTTGGTTCACTGACTAGTACAGAAGTAACAATTGATTCAGATGGAGTGGACGGCTCAGTGACTGATTCAGAAGTAACCATTGATTCAGATGGAGTGGGTGGTTCAGTCACTGGTTCAGTTTCAAGTGGCTTTTCAGAAGCAGTTCTTGGTTCAGTGACAGCTTCAGAAGAAACCATTGATTCAGATGGAGTGGGTGGTTCAGTGACAGCTTCAGTAGCAATCACTGATTCAGATGGAGTGGATGGCTCAGTTACTGGTTCAGTTTCAACTGGTGTTTCCAATGCAGCTGTTGGTTCAGTGATTGGTTTTGAGGTAACCATTGATTCAGATGGAGTAGATGGCTCAGTGGGTCGTTCAGTTTCAACTGGTTTTGCAGATGGAGTTGTTGGCTCAGTGACTGTTTCTGAAGCAAACATTGAATCAGATGAACTGGATGGTCCATTGGCTGGTTCAGTTCCAAATGGTGTTTCAGATGTGGTTGTTGGTTCAGTGACTGCTTCAGTAGTAACTACTGATTCAGATGAAGTGGATGGTTCAGTTTCTAGTTCTGAAGTAACCATTGATTCAGATGGAGTGGGTGGTTCAGTAACTGGTTCAGACGTAACCACTGATTCAGATGAATTGGAATGTTCAGTGACTGGTTCAGTTTCAACTAGTGTATGAGATGGGGTTGTTGGTTCAGTGACTGAAGTAACTATTGATTCAGATGGAATGGATGGCTCAGTGACTACTTCTGAACTAACCATTGATTCAGATGGAGTAGATGGTTCCTGGAGTGTTTCAGAAGTAACTACTGATGCAGATGCCGTAGATGGTTCAGTGACAGCTTCAGAATTAACCACTGATTTGGATGTAGTAGATGGTTCAGTGGCTGGCTCATTTTCAAGTGGTGTTTCAGATTGAGTGGATGGTTCAGTCACTGGTTCAGTTTCAATTGGTTTTTCAGATGTGGTTCCTGGTTCAGTGACTGCTTCAGAAGTAACCATTGATTCAGATGGAGTGGATGGTTCAGTGAAGGCTTCAGAAGTAACCATTGATTCAGATGGAGTGGGTTGCTCAGTAACTAGTTCTGAAGTAACAATCGATTCAAATGGAGTAAATGGTTCAGTCACTGGTTCAGAAGTAATAACTGATTCAGTTGGAGTTGATGGTTCAGTGACAACTGCAGTAGTAACCACTGATTCAGATGGACTGGATTGTTCAGTGACCGGTTCAGTTTCAACTGCTGTTTCAGATGTGGTTGTTTGTTCAGTGACTGGTTCTGAAGTAACCATTGATTCAGCTGGAGTGGATGGCTCAGTGACTGGTTCTGATGTAACCACCGATTCAGATGGAGTGGATGGCTCAGGGACAGCTTCCGAAGTAACCACAGATTTAGAAGGACTGGATGGTTCAGTGACAGATTCAGAAGTAACCATCGATTCAGATGGGTTAGGTGGTTGAGGGACTGGTTCAGAAGTAACCATTGATTCAGATGGGTTAGGTGGTTGAGGGACTGGTTCAGAAGTAACCATTGATTCAGGTGGAGTTGATGGTTCAATGACTGTTTCAGAAGTAATTATGGTTTCAGATGGAGTGGATGGTTCAGTGACTGGTTCATTTTCAACTGTTCTTTCAGATGTGGTTGTTTCTTCAGCGACGGCTTCAGAAGTACCCATGGATTCAGACAGAGTGGTTAGTTCAGTGACTGGTTCAGAAGTAACCATTGATTCAGATGGAGTGGATGTTTCTGTGACTGGTTCAGCATCAGCTGTCATTTCAGACGTTGTTGTTGGTTCAATGACTGGTTCAGAAGTATCTATTGATTCAGTTTCAGTGGACGGTTCAGTGACTCGTTCAAGTGTCTCTGTGCTTTTTGGTGCACCTTTTGGTGCAGTTACATTAGTTGGTTCACCCGCTGGTTCAGGTGTTGTGGGTGGTTCAGGTGAACTCGTGGTCCTTTGCTCAGATGACGGTACTACTGTATTAATCTTTGGTCCAAATGGTTTTTGTTGCTCCTTTCCACTTCCTCCTCCTTCCGGACCTTGGCCACATTCACATGGTTTGAGCTGAATGATGTTTTTAATAAGCTGAGCACTTGGGAAGCTCATACTTATGACACCTAAGCAACCATAGTTTTTAGAGATTTTTTTATGCCAGTCCACAAAGTCGTAAAGTTGCTCATTGACATTTCGAGCCAATATTTTTGGATTGTTGAAAAGTGACGTTGATGTCTCAGTCACCACAATGTGATGTTCACAGATGTGTGACTTGATTTGCTTTAATCTCTGTTCTACATTTTTGAGCCTATTACGTTCAAAGAAATGTGAGTCATGGTTTTCTGTTCCAGCATGAAACACATCAGTCTGGAGAAAAACAATATTGCCCCTTGCGACCTTCATGTTTGGTGTCATCGTCTGTGTCCATATTTTATTTCTGAAGTTGTCAATTAATTCCTTTGTCAACTGAGCAACTTGTTTCTTGTAAAGACCATGTAATGTCACTTTCAAAATCACTGTCTCACTTTTGTGATCTCTTAAGAAATCAAGAATGTCTCTGAGGACATTATCTAATTCCGTATGCTGCCAAAACATCCAGTGACTATCCCGAATATAAACATTTTTTTGTGTAGGCAACCAAATCCCAGCATGCAAGTCAAAATATCGTACTCCCACATTAAGTTGCTGCTTCAAATTCCAAACTTGACATATAGCAAGTGGTCCTCCGTATAATGTTAAGCTCTCGTGTGTTCCAGGAATGGAGATAGCAGATAGTGGGGTCTCTTCAGGTATAGACTTCATCCAGTCAAGGTTATAAGATCTTGGATCCAGGTCTGGGTTTTCATTGAAACCTAACCATGAACCTGAGCAGGAGGTTATTCTGGTGAGAGGAAGACATTTTTACTTCTATTTTTAATTCTTTCATCGTTCTTTCAAAGTCAAAAAAGCAATTCTAATTGTTTATTTCTACAACAAGAAAAAGGAAGACAGAAATATTTGCCAAATACTCTTTCCCATCACAATAAGTCAGTCTTAAAAGTAAAGCAATTATAAACTATTATTATAAAATCAATAATATTGTCTTACTTACATAGAGAAAAAGGAGAGAAAATTATAGATCCCCATAATCTGGTTGTTCCATCAAGCTCAGGAATTTAGGATTTGTCCAAATTTCTTTCCAATGCGTTTACATTTTTTTCTCACCAGCCAATTTGTAAAAGAATTTACAAAACTCCAAAATGCTTTTACATTTAGCTCCGGACATGGCTGTGACAATAGACAATGGTCTCTGGTAAAGTGAGCTGCTGTAACAGTGAACATAAAGATAACCTTTGATTTGCATGTTTCTGTTCTCTAATCTTTTATTTAGAGTAGTGTAGGAGAGAGAAAGAGAGACACTGAGACAAATGGAGAGTGAGACGTTGTAAAAGAGGTGTGCAGGCCATGTTGTAGCAGTTTATTTAGTAAAATATGACTTTGAAGACAGTCAGGGAGGTGATGAGTCAGCTCAAATGGCTATCCTTTACATATTTTGCATAGACTACATATCTACATGCACTACATGTAAGAGTATTCCTTCACCGAATATCTGTTTTTAGGCATCCCCTACGTTCTTTAGCTGGAACACCTTAATAGTTTTGGATTCAGCCTGTGAGTTATATAAGGAAATCTTCAATGATTGGTTCATCATTTCACCCACACTCATCAAAGCCACAACACTGTGCTAATGGGGAGATCAATATAAGAATACAATTACATGAAAAGTGGGATACAGTTGTCTTAACTGTAAATTGGAGCTCTAAACATCAGCCAGGTCACTTGATGACTATAGTTTTAGAATGTTGAATTCAGCCTCTCCTTTAAACCTTTATTCTGTTTAATGAAATCAAAAGGACAATGCCTTTTCTTTTTGCTCCTTCCTTTAGGGGTCATCTGCTTCCATCTCACCCTATCCCTCCTCTTTCACACCAGGCTCTTGTCCACCTGCTCTCCACTATCAATATAGATCACAATGTTGTCTGCAAACATTACAGACCACAGAGACTCCTGCCTGATTTAATCTGTCAACTCATCAAATCTTATTTGACTGAATGTTCTGTATATTCTGTTTTTTATTAGCCTTAATCACTGAAATTAAAGTTAACTTAGGTAGTGCTTCAAAACAAATTACAAAAAATGCCTAGATGGGATTTAGTGTGGCTGCTGAGTACCTGGAAGTGTTTCTAGAAGAATTGTGGTAAGAGTCATCAATATGAATTTAAGACAATGATTTTCTTTATTCAAACTTAACAAACAACTTTGTCACATAAATTATTTAATTGGTAGGGCACTCAGAATAAAAGGACTTAAGTCAGGGCTAAAAGTTTTCAGCCCTGATTTAAATGAAGATTACTACAGGTGTTCAGGAAGTTCAGGGGAGCATGACTACTCAAATCAGCTGCAGAGACATATATCAGCATCAGCAATTGGATTAGAGATACATACAGCAGAGTCAAATTTCAATAAACCTTTACTTCACCATAAAGACACGTTAAATATTTAATCTAATCTAATCTAATCTAATCTAATCTAATCTAATCTAATCTAATCTAATCCAACAGTTTAGCTTCATTCTTTTAAGCAAAGTTTTTAAGTCTAATGTGGAATGTGGTGACCATTTAAAATTTGAGGCATTTTCTCATATTGATATTATTTATTTAGACTATGTTAATACTGTTTTTTTCATAAATGTAGAAACATAGAAAAGCATATCTTTCTCATATTTAGAACCCTTAGCCAGTGAATCTTTCCATGAAAACTTAGTTTTCATGCACATGATACTCGGTACAACAATAACCTGAGTATCACATATTAGTTAAAATGACATAAAACAGAGTAAAGCTTCTATTCCTAATATTTATGAGTATCTAACTAGTAGATTTTGGAAATTTTTCAAGCGTTTTATGATCTAAATTATATAAATTGAGAAAAGCTATCATATTCATGTCATAAATCATATTTCTTTATCATTTTTTTATGTTCTGCTACTCATTATTATTTATATTCACTGTCACAGCTAATTATTTTGGTATTTTTTGTTTTCCTTTCAATGAATAACTAAAATTATGGTAAAAAATGGTTTGATAATCATAGCTGAATCCCAATGTTTAAATTAATAATCAAACAAGATGGAGAAAATTCTTCAGTTTTAAAACCCCAAAAGGTTGATTCTGTTCATCTGGATGTAGCGTTTCCAGCGGGAGAAATGTCTTGTCACTCATCCAAGTTACGAACCATATGTCCAGATGAACAGAATCAATCTTTTGGGATTTATCTACCTGGATGATTGAGCATGCATCAAAACATTCAGTTTTAAAAGTTGAAACCAGGCAATGTTTGGCATTCCTGCTGGGAAAACTTCAGTTTACTAACTTTAATATCACATAAGTAAACAGAAGAATAATAACTGGCAATCACTGCTACAATTCAATAAATAAAAGTGAAATTCTTCTCCATTACTAATAGGTCTGTTTCTCGCTCAAAAGTTGGCTTAACAGAGAAAAAACTTGGGTCCTCGTTAAATTTCTCACACATTTGTTTTGTGGTAAAGTTTTCATTTGCTGTGTGTTAATATGAAGCAGTTGGGCTTTAATCTACTCAAATTATTGTCTCAGATTGAGTTTGGGGGCTTTGAAAGTAAAGCAATTATAAACTATTATTATAAAATCAATAATATTGTCTTACTTACATAGAGAAAAAGGAGAGAAAATTATAGATCCCCATAATCTGGTTGTTCCATCAAGCTCAGGAATTTAGGATTTGTCCAAATTTTAAGCTTTCGTGTGTTCCAGGAATGGAGATAGCAGATAGTGGGGTCTCTTCAGGTATAGACTTCATCCAGTCAAGGTTATAAGATCTTGGATCCAGGTCTGGGTTTTCATTGAAACCTAACCATGAACCTGAGCAGGAGGTTATTCTGGTGAGAGGAAGACATTTTTACTTCTATTTTTAATTCTTTCATTGTTCTTTCAAAGTCAGAAAAAAGTTTGAATTGTTTATTTCTATACCAAACAAAAGAAGGACAGAAATGTTTGCTGAATATGTTTTCAAATCACAACAAGTCTTACTTGTAAGTAGAACAAACAAATATAAAACTGATAACACTTTAGAATAATGTCACACTATCAAGCATTAGTAAGTGCTTAATGCATCATTTATGAAGCATTACTTCTCCTTAGTATGTAACTTATAGAATTTATAAATCTAGATATAATGTTTATTTTTGATTTAAGATCTCATATGCAGCATGTTCATTTTTTAATTTAGAAAGTCTAAATAAGTGATCAACAAAGTATTTAGATAAGAATTTATATATATAATCATTAAGATTTTAGATATTAGTTTATTGTTCGTGAGTGTGTTAATAGAGGTTTTATACATACTTATTTCAAGCTGTAATCCATGGCTAATTCATACAGTTACTAGTTGTTAAGTATTTTGTGTAACCAGGACTATTTTTGCCTTATAAAGATTTAAAAATTAAAATAAAAGTACCTCAACATATAAAGTATAAGCTCACATAAAAAGAACACAAGCAAAGCACAAAGAAATAGAGAAAATCCAAATCAGTGTTGCCAATTTAGCAACTTTGTCACTATATTTAGCGAGTTTTCAGACCCCTGTTAGTGACTTTTTTTCCTAAAAAGTGACTAGCGACAAATCTGGTGACTTTTGCTGGTGTTATTGGAGACTTATGATGACTTTTTGATGTGAAAGCACATATCGCTCTTACTCTCAACTCTGCTGTGGGCTGCTCACCAGTGCCAAAGCGCTCACAGGCGGGGGACAGCCCTCACGCAGCAGTTGCCCCCAGCTGCTGTCAGAGCAGAAGATGTTCACCCATATGCTTCCAAACTGCAAATGAATCACACCCTGCCTGTAACGCAGTCAATTCTTCTTTTACTCTTACTTTTTGTGGGTGACAAGATTTAAAACTACTTAAAAACACACACGAAAAAAGTGTCCCAGGTTGTCTATTTCGGGTCACTTTTGCCAGTCCCAAGCCCAGATAAAGAAGGAAAGTTGGAACTGTGACATTAAAAAAACAATAATTGCTAAAAGAAATTTAATGTGTAGTTCTAAATATATTCTAAATGCTTTTAGGGTGTCGGTTACAATTATAATTATAAGAATGACCAATTATGCAAATTAGGCGATGACATCATTTAGTGACTTCTAGCGTCTTTTAGGACAACCAATAGTGATTTTTCTTACTGAGGAGTTGGCAACACTGATCCAAATCCTCTATTAGCTAACTTTAGCCAAATAAGTCATTGGCCAGTCAGGTTCAGTTCTAAAGTGCTCCTGAAATAAACAAATTAGTCAGAATATCCAGCTCTGTGCTTTCACACAGGCAAACTCGGCTGGAATGAAAAAAACACTTAATGGCCTCCTCATTCAAAACATTCGGAGAAGTTAGCGTGAGGAAGAGAAATCAGATTAGAGTAGATTAGAGACTCACTGAGTAAAACAAGTTGTGTTACTTGGGGATTCAATTCAATTCAATTCAATTTTATTTATATAGCGCCAAATCACAACAAAAGTCGCCTCAAGGCGCTTCATAGATACAGAGAAAAACCCAACAATCATATGACCCCCTATGAGCAAGCACTTTGGCGACAGTGGGAAGGAAAAACTCCCTTTTAACAGGAAGAAACCTCCGGCAGAACCAGGCTCAGGGAGGGGCGGCCATCTGCTGCGACCGGTTGGGGTGAGAGAAGGAAGACAGGATAAAGACATGCTGTGGAAGAGAGACAGAGGTTAATAACAGATATGATTCAATGCAGAGAGGTCTGTTAATACATAGTGAGTGAGAAAGGTGACTGGAAAGGAAAAACTCAATGCATCATGGGAATCCCCCGGCAGCCTACGTCTATTGCAGCATAACTAAGGGAGGATTCAGGATCACCTGGTCCAGCCCTAACTATATGCTTTAGCAAAAAGGAAAGTTTTAAGCCTAATCTTGAAAGTAGAGATAGTGTCTGTCTCCCGAATCCAAACTGGAAGCTGGTTCCACAGAAGAGGGGCCTGAAAACTGAAGGCTCTGCCTCCCATTCTACTTTTAAATACTCTAGGAACAACAAGTAGGCCTGCAGAGCGAGAGCAAAGTGCTCTAATAGGGTGATATGGTACTACAAGGTCATTAAGATAAGATGGGGCCTGATTATTTAAGACCTTGTATGTGAGGAGCAGGATTTTGAATTCAATTCTGGATTTAACAGGAAGCCAATGAAGGGAAGCCAAAACAGGAGAAATATGCTCTCTCTTTCTAGCCCCTGTCAGCACTCTTGCTGCAGCATTTTGGATTAGCTGAAGGCTTTTCAGTGAGTTTTTTGGACATCCTGATAATAATGAATTACAGTAGTCCAGCCTGGAAGTAATAAATGCATGAACTAGTTTTTCAGCGTCACTCTGAGACAGGATATTTCTAATTTTAGAGATGTTGCGCAAATGGAAGAAAGCAGTCTTACATATTTGTTTAATATGTGCTTTGAAGGACATGTCCTGGTCAAAAATGACTCCAAGGTTCCTCACAGTGTTACTGGAGGCCAAGGTAATGCCATCCAGAGTAAGAATCTGCTTAGATACCATATTTCTAAGATAACTGTAGTCTGGAACAACAGCCGTGTAGATTGAAAGAGGAGATTCAGAAACGTGCACATCAGAAGTACAGTAGGATGCAAACGTTTGGGCAGCCTTGTTAATAGTCATTATTTTCCTGTATAAATCGTTGGTTGTTACAATAAAAAATGTCAGTTAAATATATCATATAGGAGACACACACAGTGATATTTGAGAAGTGAAATGAAGTTTATTGGATTTACAAAAAGTGTGCAATAATTGTTTAAAACAAAATCAGGCAGAAAAATCTCGGATAGACAGAAGCGACGAATGGTGAGAACAGTCAGAGTCAACCCACAGACCAGCACCAAAGACCTACAACATCATCTTGCAGCAGATGGAGTCACTGTGCATCGTTCAACCATTCAGCGCACTATACACAAGGAGATGCTGTACGTGAGAGTGATGCAGAGGAAGCCTTTTCTCCGCCCACAGCACAAACAGAGCCACTTGAGGTTTGCTAAAGCACATTTGGACAAGCCAGCTTCATTCTGGAATAAGGTGCTGGGGACTGATGAAACTAAGATTGAGGTATTTGGGCATAACAAGGGGTGTTATGCATGGAGGAAAAAGAACACAGCATTCCAAGAAAAACACCTGCTACCAACAGTGAAATATGGTGGTGGTTCCATCCTGCTGTGGGGCTGTGTGGCCAGTGCAGGGACTGGGAATCTTGTCAAAGATGAGGGACACATGGATTCCACTCAATATCAGCAGATACTGGAGACCAATGTCCAGGAATCAGTGACAAAGCTGAAGCTGCGCCGGGGCTGGATCTTTCAACAAGACAACGACCCGAAACACTGCTCAAAATCCACTAAGACTTTCATGCAGAGGAACAAGTACAATGTTCTGGAACGGCCATCTCAGTCCCCAGACCTGAATATTATTGAAATTTGTGGTGTGAGTTAGAGAGAGCTGTCCATGCTCAGAAGCCATCAAACCTGAATGAACTAGAGATGTTTTGTAAAGAGGAATGGTCCAAAATACCACAATCCAGACTCTCATTGGAACCTACAGGAAGCGTTTAGAGGCTGTAATTTCTGCAAAAGGCAGATTTACTTAATATTGATTTCATTTCTTTTTTTGTGGTGCCCAAATTTATGCACTTGCCTGATTTTGTTTTTTATTATTGCACACTTTCTGTAAATCCAATAAACTTCATTTCACTTCTCAAATATCACTGTGTGTGTCTCCTATATGATATATTTAACTGACATTTTTTATTGTAACAACAGACGATTTATACAGGAAAATAATGACTATTAACAAGGTTGCCCAAACTTTTGCATCCCACTGTAACTGTCTTGGAACTGTTTCTCTGTGAGTATAGCTGAGTTAAGCTAACATGGCTAACTAGCCCCTTAGCCATGTTTTTGACCCATTAGCACCACAGTCTCTGTTTACACAGTCTCTGTTATGCTGTTATGGTTGTTTTACACATTTCTGCCTTTGTTTTTGATGCTAGCTTACTTCATTCCTGTGTTATTGTTACACCGTGTACATCTGCAGGGGCTGCCTTTCGTTCGAGTGCTAATAATACTAATATTTAATATGGTTAGATTCACTGCTACTAAAAAGAGAATAAAATGAAGATGGATATAAAAAGGTAGAATACTGCGTAAGCTTTGCTGTACCAAAAAGGTTGACACAGTATTTTGAGAATTCAGATTTTATTGTCATTATGACCATTAAATACTGGTATTTACTGATATTAATGCAGTACCATCCCTGTTTTATATAAATGAGAAGAAGAAGGAGATCATCCAGTACACGTTTCTTTCCAGCTGAGTTCACCTCTGTGATAACTCTATTTCATTTAATTCAGAAGCACTTTGCAAGTGAAGCTACTCGATGCTGACTTATCTGACTAAATCTAGCTAACAGACTACAAACCAGAGGAAAGCTGAAACTCAGGAATGAACCAAAGGTATTCCAAACTCTTAAAAATTCCAAAGACTTTTTCCTGTATTATCAATTTAATATGATGGACACACAGTTTTCTGATAACCTTATTCAATTTTTATTTTAATGGAAGACTGCTCAGAGTATTTTTGTCAATTAAACCTCTCTTACGAACTCATTTCAGTATTCTTCAGC